ACGTTAAGCCTATCGTTACGCTTTGAGGTTTAACGTCATCAACCGGTACGCGCAGCTATTTGACGTGAGGGGGACGCTGGTATGCGCCGGCCTGATGTTAGGCCTAACGTGACGGTTTGAGGTCTAACGTCGTCAACCGGTGCCCGCAGCATGAGCGATGGTGATGATGAGAGGACACGTGATTCCAGCACACGCCGCGCCGAGCTTCGCACTTCCGCCGCTGCCTCACCCAGCGGCGCAGCAGTCACCTGCGAGCCAGTGTAGTCTGTGCGGAGCACCGCCGCACTCCCTGCCGACGCTACGGCCGCTTCTGCTCCTCTCGACTCCGAGAATGCTTTCGCATTATCAACGCATAAAAAGAGTTTAAGTGTCCTCGGAATTTTTTTTAGATATGAAGTGACTTTAAGTGTTAAAAATTTCCCACGGGGGCTATAATTCTTGTTTGAATCTTTGACGGGAATGTTGAAATTGGCTACCGCTTTAGCATATACGAAGAAAAAATTACTTTACTGATTCATTTCTTCATTGTATCGAGGCTCGCCAAAGTAACAGGAAGTGACTTTGGTTTAGTGCTCATTATTGCTTTTCCCATTTTATGTGTGCAAATTGTTGGTACCACGTCTTGCGGCAAAACACAAAACACAAAGCTGTGTTTTGTGTTTTCTTTTGTTATCAGAGCTAGTGTACGTCGTTTCAGCTGAAGTCCAGACGCAGCCGGCGCTACGAGTTACTGGGACCAATCAGACAGCGTCAAAGGGGCACCCTCGTGGTGTTCGTCGTGTTTCTGTGCGTGTTCTATTGTCGCTGAAGCAATCATAAACAGAAAAGGCCTAGCGATATCCGCTTTTTACGCTGTTTTAATGATCCCATTACCTGATGGTGTCGACTGCGTCTAGACTTTCGTTGAAACGATATATACCTCAGTAGTACTGGTGTGAAAAGGCGGTTATAGCTTTCAATCCTTTTTTTTCGTGATGTTCTGGGTCTTTGTGGCATTTCATATTTAAGAACTTTCCAAGTGAAATAAATGTTCAGTTGTGTCAGAGACTTTTTTTGTGCGTCGTCTTTCGCTTACCTGCCGTCGTAATTTTCTGTTATGTCTCTTTATTTTTGCTTACGTTAATATAAGAGCCTTTGAACATTCGTTATAGATGTTTCAAAGGATGTCACACCCTTTTACATAGCACTAAAAATTTTGTATTTTGTATATTTTGCGTTAAATACGCGTAACACGCTAGCCTTGACCTCACGGCTCGAAGGACGAATGAATAAAAATACAAATAATGTCAGTGGACCACGTCAGCGAGTCGACCTTCCCCTCAAAGGACTTAATCGGCATAAATTCTGCTTCTTACGTTTTCGCTGAAACGGCTAAATATTGGCGACCGCGGCAAGGGTGGCAGAGCTCAGCCTGGCGGCTTTGCGAGTCGTTCTGCTCTCTCACTCAATTAATCACAGATGCAAAGAATCGACGCTTTTAAATTTGAAGACGTTTTTTTTTTCTTTTTTTTAGTTTAATAAAAATCTAAAGCCCTTTAACAAAATCGTAGAATGTATTTTTTCGTACTTGTGATTTCGCACTTCGTGAAGATGTACTGCGCAGATTTACGTTGTGACATCGTCGTGCGTTCATTAGATGATGTTAAGACCCCAAGATTGCGTAGAAATTTCGGTTTGGTCTGACTGGCAGATTTAATTGCTGGACATATGTGTGGGGTATAGAGAGAAACAGGTCTTTAATGAAGGCAGTAGGAAGGCAGCGCTTTTCCTTAGCGAAACACAAACAGTAGTTGACCTTTAAAACAGTTTTTGTTGTCGCGTTACTTTATTATTTTTAGAAACGCCGTGTTTGTTAATTTAGCATTCAAAACATTGCTAACTTATCAAAATAGGTCCATGAATCCACAATTTATCGATGTCCATTTGTTACACAGTTTGATCATTCGCAACCAAATGAAATAAGATTACAATGTATTTAGTATCGCTGGTTTCGCACAACATCAAAATAACTGCATAAACTGTCCAAAATTCGGAATGATTATTGCAGTCCTAGAAAGTACCATCACCAAGAAAAAAAGAAATATTTCGAACGAGTATGACACTTTTACTAACGTACCTCAAATTTAAATTTACACATGCCCGATATACGGTTTTTGTTTTTATTTTTTGAGCCTCCAAACTTTAGGTAAACTTAGTAGAAAATGCGTACAAATGCATAACTCTAGAAACAAATGTGATGCGTTGCGTCATATACTTTTTGAAATGGCCTTATTTATTTAGGCTTCATTGTTTACGGAAAGGAAACATACGAGAGCATTCACGATACCTGCGTCTTTACATCTGAATATAAGTGCCGTATTCAACTCACAATGTGGATTCACTTGAAATGATTCAACTCATACGTGGAATCACTTAGAATCATTCAACTCACATCTGGAATCATTTAAGATGAGTCAACTTACCCGTGAAATCCCTTGCGAAGCCAGACTTTTTTTTATGGTTGTGCGCTATAAAAACAACCGAAAGCGGAGCACAATTTTTACGCCCATTGATTAGAGACGAGTGATTTCCGGTTGAAGATTTCTTGGAATGAAGTGGGCGTAAAAGTCGCGTTTAATAAGGTAGTTCTTCCCAAACTCTGCTACCCTGCGACTCATCATAAAAAATTTTTTTTTAAAAAGTCACGTCACGGTTTTTCCCCCTCAATTCCCGGGTTTTTCACGATGCCACAAGTGTTTTAATTTTAATGCATGACGAGAAATACAGAATAATGACGCTGAAATGTTAATTGACACCAAATATAGTGAGAGTAAATCATCCGGCAAGAAACCTTAGCAAAACAACTAAAAAACAATGCATGACGGTTATGAGTGTTCCTAATGATTGAATTTAGTTTGTTAGAGCGCAGTTTCTCAAACCGAGGGCGAAGTTTGGACACCGCTTCTCGAAGTTTCGACTGTATGTTGAGCTGCGACTCGTTATTTGTTTTCACCAAAGCCATTGCAGAAAAAACTATATTTTTTTTGTTTACTTTTCATGTTGTCTTGTGAGCTCCCTCGGGTCACTACCCAAATTCGGGTAACACTGCCATAAGAATAAAAACGTCATCGAGAATAAACGGGGCAACGTAAAAGCCATTTTCGGCATGCTATGTTTTTCTCCTGGCAAACGAGAATATCCCACTGACAATACGTTTTTTGTTGACGCAGTCTCTTAACACTTTTTTTTTAAATTTAAATCCTAGAAAAACAATCCCTCAATTAGGTGTTCAGGAAAGACTACTATTGGTTTGATTCCTTTATGTTGTTCATAGAATATTGTCACGACATAAAGTACCAACATATATGGCATGTCAAATGACGGCTTTTGTAAAAAAAAAAAAAAAAAGTAAAATAAAATACAGCCGCCCCTGGCGGTATGTGAAGCGTTTTATACTAGACAAGAGTTGGCGGCTTATTGATATATCGTGCCTGCACCTAAAAATGAAAATAAACTCCTGAAACTCGACAAAATAAGGCCGTTAAGAACCACCTCCGCGGGCCTATTGGTTGGATTCGACCGTTATTACTTACCTCAAATACTCTTCAGTCGCTACGAGAAAGCCATCTGATAAAAGTATATATATATATATATATATATATATATATATATATATATATATATATATATATATATATATATATATATATATATATATATATAAAATCACATAGTCGGGGGATTTTGAGCTCCATCTCCATTGACCACCAAGGACAGCCTAGAACCGTAGATGGGACCGTTACGATTCAGTTCACGGTTCAACGACCACAAGCAGTCGAAAACTGCGTGAAACACATCGACTCAGGACAGCTACAGTTTTTGAGGTTCGGATTGAAACGAAAACGTCGAGCACGCCCTAAGCAGGAGAGTGTAGGAGCCAACGAAGCCTGAGTCAATGAAATTCACAGCTGCGACAGCGACCAGATCTATTCTTAGGTTCAATCCGAGTTCGACCGATTGTAGCCTTCGTCAGATTGTCGTCAGTTTTAGATACAAATATACTCGAGGCCAAATGCAAGAAAAAAAAAATAAAACAGATCCAGGTCGATATTGATCGAACGCGACTTATGATACAAAGTGGGACGTCCTTCGACGCGGCGCAACGGTTTTTCGTCATTCGGCTCTTCTCCGATAAGACGAAATAACATAAAATCCCTTCATTCGAATTCGGGGCTTTAATTAAGTCCATCTCGATTAAAACCGCGCCCGGTGCGTTTTATTTTTATAACCTTCTATTGAAACCGAATATTAGTACTGCGCGGACAATGATTCCTCGGCGAACGAAGAAGTTGGCCGCTATGCGCCTCTTGTTTCGCGGTACGTGGGACGCGAAGAAATTTCGGCTAATAAAAGAAGCTGAATTATTTTGGCATACGTTCGTTTGCCGCGTCTGACAAAACCCGCGCTAAGAAATTACGGCAGAATTTATTAACATCTCCGCAAACAAGACCTATTTCGTTTCTTAATTTTGCAAAAACCAAAGCTGACGACGTCTCGTTGCATTGTCGTCCGCGCTGAAGATGCGGTTCCCATTTCGGAGACTCCCAAAGAAAACGTAAGTATGTAAAAAAAAAAAAAAGAAATATTGAAATGTTTAAACGAGTTCGACAAAATGAAACCTGCTTTGAATAAAATAACACAGAAGCTCCGGCCCTGTATTGCAAAAAAAAAAAAAAGCAACAAAAACAAAACAAAACACAATGATTAGAGTTGCAGTTACCCTGCTGATAGGTTCATACAAGAGACACTGCTGTTCACCGCATACTCGATGACAAAAGCAGTTGCAGACACGCCTCACATATATAGGTTCAAGCTTCAAACACGACTTGAGGCAGCTTCTGCATGACCAACGTGACACAGAGGACCGTCGTACAAGAACGAGGCACGCTTCAGGCACCGCCTGCAGGCTATCCTTTGTACGACGTAGTAGCGGTGTAACGAGTCAAAGAGTCATCGACGAGGTTTGGACGTATATGCGTTGACACCGCTTCTATATAATCATCGTATTTTGTTTTTACATTTCTGCGCGAGTGTGAAGAGAGAAATGTCTTTTTCATGACGGCGTTGGCGACGAAACGCAGTCACGCTCTTGTGGTTTTACGCGTACGTTGTCCGTGGTTTCGGACAGTTCCTTTTCATCTTCTTTCCTGAGCAGTCCATATATTTCCCCTGATGACCTGCTGAGAGGCTACGTGGGCAGAACTTCGATGTAACCTGAAAAAATAAAAACAAAAGGAGGAATTATTGTGTCCTAGTTCTGTTAAAGAACAACTCGTCTGACTGGTAAACCAGGAACGCAAATAGTTTTCGGCGTTGTAACTCCGATCTGAACGATGAAACAACGTTTCAACACCCGTACCCGGCTCCCTTCCTGGAAGAAAAAAAGTTATATGAGGGCACGTAAATTGAGGAAAACAAAAGTCAGTTGACTCGTACATTCGCATGTATGTTAGGTGAGAGAGCACCGTGAGCAGAATATGCAGCAGTGCCACAGTTTGACTGGACTTACGTCTCCGGTATTTTCCGTCTGTTTTTTTTTTCTCGATAACTTCGAACGGTAGGTTATCGATAACGATAAGCTACCGTTTTAAAGGCGTCGTGAAACGATTTCGGGTTGAAATGTTCGTGACTTTGTACAGGCGTACTGGTTCTAGTCTGGCCCGAGTATACTCGCCAAGACCACCGCTGATTCGGAAGCTCCTTAGTCGCGGTAAAATTGCGTGAATAAAAGGGGACTATTTCATTTAGTCTTGCCTTCGCAAAGCTTTATGGCGTAATCGCGGGATCGAGACCACCCGCCTAACGAGAGTCGCAAGCGGCTCGTGGACAGGACACGAGACTGCGTGAGCACTTCTCTTCGGCTTGTAACAATTAATGCCTCGGCGGACACTCGGCTGGTAGCTCGTGTCCAACCACTGAAGAGATGAGAATAGCCTAACTCTAACATTGCCTGGAGCTCAGCGCGCACGTTTTCTACTTTGTCAACCCCAGTGCGCGGCTATGATTAACGTTAAAGTCATAGGATAGGCACCAGACCACGTGGCCGCTCGTTCTGGCTCCGAGTTGAGGGGATGAACGATGCTCACTGTTCTGTCCTGCATACAGTGTTGTACTGCATAACATGTCAAAAGAAGACGGGCGTCGTATTCTTCTGCCAATTATCGGATAGTGTGCGTGCCAGTGCATGCTGGACATTCGGTCATGCCGCCATCAAGATCGGCAGTTGTGAGCGACCGGAGTAAAGCTACTCGTTGTGTGTTGAGTGATCGGACTCCTGATTACTTCACACTTAACATTGGCGACGAGGATGGGATCGCATAGTCAACCTCTACAGACAGCTGTGGCAGCTGCATGGGACATTCACAGCCGCGACGACCTGGCTCCGCTACCCGCGACAATCATCAGGGACAGCAGTACAACTGCGATTTCCCAAGAATCGGTTCCTGTTGCGGCGCCGGCAGCGCCTGACACTTCAGGCACTCGAAGGAGTTTCCGGAACCGGCGACCACCTAAAAGATATGGACATGACGTCTAGTGGGGAGAGGTGTTATGTCCTGCATAGCATGTGAAAATAAGAAAAAACGCCTCCTCTTCTTCTGCCAATAATAGTATAGTGTGCGTGACAGCGCATGGTGGACATTTGTTTTTTTCTTTCCTTTTCTTTCTCCTGAGTCGTGTTGCGCCCTTCCTTCTCTTTGTACTGAGCAGGGAGGGTGCCCTGCAGAAGGAGCTTTTCTTGAGGTTGCGGGGTTATCGAGGCGGAGCTCACACAGGTTTCTTCTTCGCTTTCTATAGCCAAGGCTTACAGGTTTTCTCCGGCTGATATAGGGAACGTTCCTATATCAGCCGGAGAAATATATCAGCCGTTTTCTATATCAGCCTATATCAGCCGTTTTCTATAGCCAAGGCCTACAGGCTTTCTTCGGCTGATATAGGGAACGTTCCTATATCAGCCGGAGGAAAACAGGTGCTTGAAAAAAAAAAGAAAAGCCCAAGTATGTCACAGCACCCAAGCTTGAGGCTTTAGACAAGCTAACCCTTATACGCCAAATAGCCGCTAAAGCCCCACAAGACCGAGGACCACGAACCATTGACGAGGGAATTTAAGTCTAGACATTCGGTCACGCCACCGTCAAGATCGGCAGCTGTGAGCCACCGGAGTAAAGCTACCCGTTGTGTGTTGACTATTCGGATTCCTGATTACTTCAAACTTAACACTCATATTTCTCAACTTTTTTTTTGGCTACTGTCATTGCCTAGAAAGAAAAACCAAGGCAAGTTTACTGGGTTATTAACGTTAGGGAGCGATTGTAAGTAGTATTTAGCGATTGTAGAAAAATCGTTTAATGATTTCTTTAGCATCCAGATTTATTTCATGGGCTCGTATACAAACCCAGGGAAGATGGTGGCAAAAGGCGTTCATCACAAACCTGCGCGAATAAATCTCGACCATCAATCCCCATCCCTGCCCGTTTCGATCTGGATGAGCTCGTGCCGGCGTGCGGTCGTGTATCACCACTGCATGATGCACGTTAAAGACCCCAGGCAAGCGTTTGTATTGCACTGGCTAAACTTATCATCTACAGCTGGGAGACAAGGTGCCCGTTGAGGCAGATTAAGTTCTAGGCTGTACAGACATACATACAGCCCAATTTTTCTTTTTAAACCTCGATCAAGCGCCGATGTTGTGTTCGCGCTACGATCTTATGTCGTAAATATAAACCTGATTATTTAATATAGGTCCTCTTCAATATACGCCAACTTTCCGGAGACAAGCAAGGTAAAACATGCTATTTTGTTACATTATTAGAAACGCCTCATAGTATAAACGACTTTTCTTTTTTTTTTTTTTTTGGGGGGGGGGGGGAGGGGGGAGGACAGTTGTTTTTTATTAGCGAGACACGACTGTAAGAGTACCGTACACTGTTCGTCAAACTACCTGACGTGTGCTCCTAGAGCCGGCGGCTATAAAAGTCCCTTCAATCACCCGAGTGCTTCAACACAACAGAAACCTTTATCTTCTTATTCGAGCTGAAAAATGACAAGCTGATTGTTCTTTATGTCCCCGTGTGCTAAAAAAGTTGTGTCCCCCAAATATCGCAGTCGAAAAGCGAATAAAGATCACTTGTCAAAAAAGAAGCCTCGCATGACTTTATTTGTTCCTTTTTTTTTTTTAACGAGACTTTTAACGTAATTAACTTCCGTAATTACCGAGAAGCCAGAGAAAACTTTAAAATAAAACGTTGCAAAAGAACATAAGCAACCAAATTTGAAACTATTTTTCTCGCCTGCGTGCGTGATGAATGTTTCCACGACTCTCCGCTTTCCCGCGTTTTCCGCCTCCGCGCTGAGACGCATTGTCACCCGTATTTTTTGCTTTGTTTTTATATTTATTTAAGTGATACGTTAATTAGTTCATTATGATCAGATTAATGTTTGGTACTTCTAATTATTCGATAAGTCTTCTCTTGCTGTCGTATGCTTTTTTTATTATTATTATTTCGCCTTCCCTCTTGCTCCACTATATTAAATAAATTTGGAAAGTACGTGTCTCCTCGCGAATAATTTGTTGATTTGCTTTTAGCTTACGAAATAATGAGTGGAACGACGTAAGACAGCGTCTGTAGAAGCACGACAATCTTGTAATGAAGTCGCGGCAATCGTCTGTTTCGCCCGTGCTTTGCACTGTTCGTGAGCGCGCATACATTCATTTAGGAAAACCGAACACTCTGATGTGCCCCACAGCTCGTACGTCTTGTGATATAGGTCATTCCGGTCCAGCTCTCTTGGTAATGACACACACAAAAAAAATCGTATAGCATCGCCTACAATTTAACAGCAATCAAAGCCTAGCGTTAGAAACGACGATTCGATGGCGTTAGTTTCTAATCAAGGCCGTTTTGTTTCTTAATTTTATTCATGTTTCTTTCGCTATTGTGCCTACGCTTCCTGGCTGCACGTTTCGCGAGGAGTTTTCTGACTTGCGAATCAGGCATCGGTTTGAGGGAGATTACGTTCTCTACGTTGAAGGGAACCGTAACCGAGATAAACGAGAACGAAGCACAAAATTAGTTCGAGATTTTCTTCTCGAATATGTATTTTTTGTTACTTTATTTTTTTTAGACGCACCCGATGGCTATTCATGATATTTCATCACGGTGAAGTCGCATGGAAATACCCTTAGCAGCGAAATAACTGGTCGAACAAGGCGGAGCACTCTGCAAGGTGTTTTCTCCGCTTCGCAGCGGAGTTGGATTGGAAAGCAGCATTGCCGGCGCCCAGCGAACGTCTTCCGAGTTTTTAATTAAATTGCCGTCGTTGTCAAGAAAAAAAGAAAAAAAAAAGAGTGAGAAAGTTCCAATATTTTTTTTGCGTCTTTATTCTTATATTGGACAAAGGCCAAGTTCAGCCGACACAAAAACTGTGTTTTGCTTGGCTTCAGTCAACGTTACTAAAACACTCAGTTGGGAAACTCGCCGTGGAAACCTGGGCCGCTGGCGTCCACCGAGACCGAGCTAAATGCGACAACAGCGCCACTCTTTATCATTTGTCTGTACTGTGGTCACCTTGAGCTTTTTGAAAGCCTGTTTTTGCGTAAAAACAAACGAAAAAGACTCTTTTTGTATGAAATTTATTGGAGTATAGTACCAAAAGAGGGGCGCGTTATGTTTTTAAAATCTTTAGTTTGCAGGGTTTTGCGGCACAATTAATATTGTTTTTATACAACCATGCCTCAGCAGGCCTTTCAGGTAGCACGTCCCGCCCTAGGTGCATTTTAACTTCGGTAGCTCAACGCGGCGCGTCCGCCGGGGAGGCGGGGGTGGCACCCCTGTAACCTCTACCGCTGTATCTGTTCTGAAAGCCAAAATGGAAGTCACGTGCAGTTTGTCGAGTGGCCGCTGCGGGAGAAATGGTGGCGTTGTGTTCGTCATTAGCTCGGTGCTCGGAGACAGTTTGGGGCCACTTTTTCAAAGCTGTCTCTATGGGAGTTTCCCAACTGAGTGCTTTAGTAACGTTGGCTTCAGTCCTGGCAAAGGCACGGGCACTAGGCCGTGGCTCTCATTATATTGTTGTGTGCATGTTTATACAGCTGGAATTTAGTGAGCCTCAGTGGTCTTCTGGCGTCCCCGCTGTAGATGATGAATTTGGCCAGTTCAGTACAACCGTTTGCCTGGACAAACCGCCGGTCATAGTCCAAGTTTTGCGGCGTTGACATTAGCGTCGCCCCCATCGGTGGCGCTGTCAAGAGCGTCGTCACCGGCAGCAGCGCTTTGGTGGTAGGGAGCTCTCATTAAAATAAAATCGAAAATATAAAAGATATTTTTTTATATACCACTAACTTTTATACGACCTATTTTCGCGCGTCATGAAAATAAAATGTAATTTATTTTATATCTTCATTTCTGTTTGATCCTCCCTTGGTCTGAAAACAAAACCATCAAACTACCGGGCGGCGGCTGCATGAGCTGTCAAGTAGCCCGACCCGCCGGCGCCCCGGGCCTCGGCGCCGCTGCTTCACTTGACATTTCACATTGTAATGGTCGCAGCGATGCGACCATTACAATGTGACCATTGTAATGGTCGCATCGCTGCGCGTTGTTTTGTTTAAGCGAGGTTCGTGCGAGTCTGGCCTTTGTTCTTGGTATTCCGCCTACCAGTCGAATTCGCTGGATGTTTTTGGTATAAACCTTTAGGAACTTTGTTCAGGAGCGTGTGTGACATGGCCACTCTCAAAAGAAAATGACAAGTTCTCCAAGATTTTTTTTTTTTTCATCTAACGAACGACGGGTGATTTCGCACCTCCTTTGTATTCAATGTTCTATTTTTTCCAGAGATGTTACCATAGAATTTTCTCTGTCCATAGCGGTTAGTCTGCGGGTTGACCTAACCTGTTTTTAATCTAGCAGTAAAAGAGGAAGTAAAAAATGCCTAGTAATATTTTTTTACGAAATGAAGTTGAGATTTAGTACGATTTAAAGTTTTAGAACTGGTACAGCTCCACTTCACTTAATGCACAACTCCATACTTGAAGAGTTACAATCAGGTTTATTCTTGAAACTTTCTCGTGCGGTTTTCAAACAGATGGAGAATATAATAATAAGTCTAATTTCGGATTTATATTTTAGCTTGATTGATATAAATTTAATTTAAACCTGGCCACGCGTGTGTTAGTTTTGTTGTGTTCGGCCGCCTGACGATTTAAATTCTAAATATTATGACCACATTTTCATTACAGTTTCTGGGGACATAGAGCGACCAAGCATGAACTTTTTCTTATGGTTCCGGACCACAGTGCTCTGGACGTACACTTCGTGCTTCCCACCACTTCAAGAACTCGTTGAGTGCCAATATTTCCGACACTTTCAGATGATAACATTAATTGAGGTTAACCATCAGCCTCGATCATTTCACCGACTTTCCATCTTGCATGTTTGCTAAGTTTTGAATACAGTAAGTAAACCCGAAGCAAATGATGAGAGCTAACTAAAGTGACCTAGTTCTTAAACGAGGGAACAACTTATATAATTTGAGTGAGCTGGACAAAGAACTAACTGATCCGATTTTGTATATCGACTGTAAATATGTGGGTAAATGTAGGTGCGTACATTTGTAAATATGTGTAAATATTTTATGACTTTTTATCTATTCAGGGAAAATTTATTCATTTATTCAGATTACCCCTAAAGGTCTTGTAAGGAAGGAAGTATGTCAATATTTTATGTTTTCATGTATGCATGTAGTGCTGTACTTGATTTCTTTGTGAGCTGTTAATGTAAAATAAATGTGCCTAAAATATTTCGGACGCATCTTTCGATTTTTTATGGGACGGCTGGACTAGGGCCATACAGAGCTCGAGGCTGGACGTCTCGGAACCGCTCGAAACCAAACAACGCACACCCCACACGACTACCCACTAACATAAAAGGGACGTTTATCAAACCGTTATCGTGTTGCGGGTACAGCACAACCGGAGCCTTTGAAGCATGATTTCAAGCGCGCGCCCTGGTGATACCGTGACCGCCGGGCGCGCTCTTAAAAACATGCTTCAAAGGCTCCGGTAGAGCGATACGCAGAACACGGTAGTGGTTGGCTAAAAGTCCCTAAAATGATCGCACCTTATACCAATGAAACTGAAATCACACAGCGCCGTGCTTTCTGCACAGGAGCCTCGCTCCAGCACGATTACGAAGCGCTTGTGCAACCACCCTACAAAAATTGGCAAGCGCCATGTGGAATATTTTATGGCTTCGCTTGGAAACCACTTCAGAGTAGACTACTCCAAGCAACTTGTGTCAAAAGAAGCCTGTATAAAAAGTTAGCAACGTATTTTTAATAACGCGGCTAGTTGTGAATTTGAATTTCTAATGTACTAATTAAACATAAATTGTCAACTCGTTCAAGTAAGTTTAAGGCCCACAACGGAAGAGGAATTTGGCGCTGCGGTACAAATGTCGAACCATTGGCTCCGTGGGAAATGTCTGGAGGTTGCCTGGGGTCTTTAACGTACACCACGCAGTGGTGATACACGACTGCCCGCCAGTGCAATGCTCATTCAGATCGAAACGGGCATGGGTGGGGATTGAGCTCAGGATTCCTAGGTTCTGGAGCGCGAGCTGTCGCTCCACGGGCTCCGAGCTGGTGTGCGCTAGTCCACTACGTCACCGGTCTCCCGGCCTGCCGTGACCCTGAAGAATGCATTATCCGCACAAGCAATCGCGCATACACAGTTCTTTCATAAACCACACGTCCGTTCTCGTGCTTTGCCAGCAATTAAAAAAAAAAAAAAAAAAACTTGTAAGAAATAATATTTCTTTTCACAGGCGTGCGAGAGTAAGGGCTCGTTTACACCGGCTCACACAGCGCCATTTGCTGACGTTGAGCTATGTTACGAGAACTTGCGTTTGCTTACGTTCCGGGGCAGTCCGTGGTCCGTATGAGGCGTGGCAACCAATTCAAGAAATAGCTTCGCACGTAACATACGAAGCACGGACGTCCCGGTCACTTGCGGTCGTATCTTAACATAACGCAAGAAAACGTAATACACTAGCGTTTGACACATTTTGACCTCGTTGTGGGGGTTTACGATAAGTTTCGATCACGAGTCGCCCGGACATCTGTATACAAAGTACGGATGTCCCGGTGACTGGTAGTCGTGTCACAATGCAACGTAAGAAAACGCTAAGCGTGCTTCACGATGTTCAGAAAAATACAGAATCTTTCACTCACCTGGAAATTTCTGAAATGAAAGTGCCAATCTCATGCGACACCACTAGAATTATCTTTCAGTTTACAGACTCGGACGCGCTTCACTTTACGGCAACAAAGGGCCGGACTTTGTTTATATATCTTCTAGGTCACCCTGCCACTGCTTGGTACCAGCGAGCAGGGTGATCGTGTCGGAGGCAAGTTAGAAGTCTTTTTGTGTGTGTGTGTGTGTGTGTGTGTGTTTGTGTTCACGCTTGTGCATTCCTGTTCAATTATTCAAGCGCTCTCCAGGCAGACAGGCTAAATGTTATATATACGCTTAGTGTACACGAAAAATATGGCGGCCGGGTATAAATTTCTTGTCGCATCCCGTTGCTTTTAAACGATTTCTACCGTTGAAGATTTTGAAGGGAGAAACAGGGTTATAAAAAAGGGCACTGGACCTTAGTTACAACAGGGGTGCTGGAAAACATTCGACTGAATTTGGAAACGTCGTATTCTGCAGCCATACTTTGCATGCGCGCTTAGCGTGTCACGTTTTGTTTGTGTGTGCATAGAATGCATAACGTTATGCATAGAACGCATAACCTTCTACTATAAACATATTTAGTTTAGCGTGAACATTATGCGGTTACGGGAAAAGAATGTGTGCCACAAGCCAACCGTGCATAATTTACTATCAACATTACTCTTTTTTTTTTTTAGACGTGTATAAGATGCAGCCTTGCTAAACGTTTTGTCCGTGGTACTTTCCCTGCCCGCTTCCGGAATGGCGGTAACGAAAGCGGTATTTCGGTAACACAATGCTAAAACATTCTACTAGGGAATTTTAGTTACCGTTTTTGCCATACCGACATCAATACCCACAGCCCGCTGACACCTTCAAGCAAACTTCCTGTCGTTTTTGCAGACGAGGATTATTCATGCTACGGCAAATTCAGTTCAGAGTGATTATCACACGCCCAGAGCCAAATGATAACAACACAGCAACACCCCAATCTTCAGCATTTGATATACGAATGCAAGACACTGGCTTTGTCTCGAACCAAAGCCCTCCGACATCTTCGTGCACTATAGGCTACCGGGTCGACGACACATAAGCCTGGCACCTTCTTGGGTTAGGTTCATGGCAGGGATGTAAAAGCCCACATCTGACTCTCGCAGGACTTCTTCCAGACCTCGGCGCTAACGAAAGATCCCCACCCTTTTTGGCCTCTCACTAAATACATAATCAGTCAATCAATAGTTATCGTGTCTCCTTATCGGAACGTAAACAACGATCTACAGGTGGGTTTTAGTACATCGTTTTGATAACTGGGAAGTGTGGAACTACTCAAACTCGCTACTACTCCCGCGATATCGAGTGCTCATTGTGACCGGCACTGCTCACCTTCGGCCCTTCTAAGTTCCTGGACCTTCCGGGCGGGCACTCCGGGTACGGGCGTGGGCGCAGTGGGCGACTTGACGGCGTTCCTGAACGACACCCTGTTCTTGTGCCCGGCGTGGGAGACGGCGGCCACGCGCACGTAGTTGCCGTCCGCGTCATCTTCGTCCACGGCCATGGCCAGGTGCTCCCCCGGGTCCGACTGGAAGGGCCTGGTCAGCCGCGGCGAAGACAGCGCGCTGTCGTTGCTCAGCGAGCTGCTCGACCGCTCGAAGGCCGGCAGCACGTAGTTCAGGTCGGCCGTCGTCCGCGCGTCGCCGCAGCTCCCTCCGCGCGTCTCCGGGCTCTCGGGTTGGCGACGCCACGCGGGGGGCATGGACAGGGACGGAGTCGCCGGGGCTGACCTCCCTGCGATTCACGAGGGAGACTAAAGCCGCGGTCAGACTGCGGACACAGCATACAAAAGACAGCCTGCAAGACAGTGTCTGAGGCGCACTTCTTCCTTGTAGGACGGTCACACTGGCCCTGCCAAAACTGTCCGCAGATGTGTTCGAAGCGCACATATGTGCTGACACTTAATGATACGGAAGCGGGCGTCCCGACAAAGATTAAGTAGAAGCGGGTTCCCGAGAGATAGAGAGCGAACGAGAAGGACAATCGGGGCTTGGCCATGAACGAACTGTGCCCGACAGTTATCGTGAAAACATGTGTATATAAATGCTGTTGTCGACTTCATCAACCAACAACCAGTCAGCCGTCCTTACAATATGTATGAAACAAACGTGTTTCGTACATCTACGCAGATAATTCTCTTATCATGTCTGCAATGAACACCGTATTTTTGTTTGGTATTATGTATATGAGCAGTGTCGTCTAACGCCGGGTTAGCTCATCCTGTAGAGCGCTTCACTGGAAATGGATAGGACCCTGGTTCGATACCAGGACCGGGCGGATCTTTTCCGACGCGCACCGGTCACCCAGCTGTGTTTGCAGATTAGTGTTTGTCCTTTGCCCCCCCTTCTCCAGAGATTACTGTCGTCAGGCTAGGCTCCTGTATTCACAGTGAGAAATGACGTCACTACGTCATTCAGTACAAACGCAGCATTTTCCCAGCGTCACAGAAAAAGGGGAGTACCCGTTGGCGTCCTTTTCTGATACATTGCACCCACATAAATAAGCGGCCTCCGCCTGATTCGCAGTGCACTTCGTGTATTAAAAGCTGAGCCGAGCCTTTTTTTTTTTTTTTGGTGGGCGTGTACATTTTTTATGTTTATGTTTTACAACGAATTGTAGATAACTAAAGACGAGCAACCAATATGAGAAGAATCAAGTCCACTTACGGTGATGTGATTGGTTTTAGTAATTTTGGAGCACCTGTTGGAGCGGCCAAACGCACTATTTGGAACATAAGAGCACACATCTTTCTTATTCATAACAATGCAAATTTTATATATTAAGATTCACGTTCTAGGCTGTCCAACTAATATACATTGTTAAGTTTGTCTTCCCACCTATGTGCAACCTCTTGTTAGCATCAAAATGAAGCAGGTTTGATTCGCTCAAACTCAGAACTAGCTATTTAGTTGTGCATAGAAGCATCAAGAACGGCAAGGAAATGCTGATTGATGGACATAATGAACTGCTGCAATAGTAATTTTAGGTCTGGTGTCAAAGCTAATCCAAATAGTACATTTCATGGAAATAATGTTGGAAGAAAATTATATAAAGCACCCATATTTATGTTTCGCTGAAGCTCTAAAAGTTGTAATAAAACTGCCATCCTTAATTCAGGTAAAACAGAAGATTCTGTCATTTGATTATAAACATCAATAACATTTTATATCTAGAACATATAAACCATATTTTCTTAAAAACAATCAAGCTGAACTCATCAAGTGTATTCCCAAGTTTCCATCCGCTGTTCCAGTTCATTTAGTTTTAATTGACTCTGTTCACTGCGTCACCACACATATGAAATTTATATAACGGTGTTAACGAAACAATAAAGTTGACATAAAAAGATTATAGAGCAGCTCATATACATCATCTCGCAATACCCAAGTACCCTTGCTGAATCTCAATTTTGAAGAAAAATATATTAGAAATATAGGCTATGGTCAGAATATCGTAGTCTATCAGCTATATTAGCCGCAGTTTTATTAAAAACAAATTACTGCAAGAAAGTGTTTGTTAAATCAGCACTAACGAAGATCTATTTATATATATATATGCCCGACGCTTACATGTGCAATGTCCGGCTCTGGAGGAGGGATTTCCCGCCTAGCGCGGGGATGCGCAGCGGTGAAGCAAGGTACGCAACATCGCCATCACATCTCGACCTCGATTCCTACTCCGACGTCGTCGCTTCCCTGCAGCACACCAGTGCGTGGGGAGAAGCGCACTCAACGGAGCTAACTTAACATGATAGAGGGGCTTTAACTTAAACGCCAGAACACACCACGACCATGAGGAGTGATGTGATACTTCATAATACAGTCAGTGTTTGACAAATAGATCAAATAAAGTATGTCATTTCAGGCGATAATCAAAAGTTAAGAAATTTTGCACAAGTTTACAGTAACTATCCGGCTGTGGAGCGCTGCTCAGGTTATTGTAATTTCAGTATTAAACCCCTTCAGTGACAATTTTTTTTTCCAAAAGTTACCTAAAAGTGCCAGATATTTTTTTTTATTTTGAGTTGTTACTTCTCTAGTATTACACATAAAAGTTGAGAAGTTTATTACGCAAAAATCAGCGGAGGCGAAAAAAATATTTGCCAACTAAAACGATTGCTGCCATCTATGATCAGCGCCGCAAAACTACTCGGACGGGCCTAGTTCGTCCGTGGAATTGAGGGCAACCGAAAAAACCACTGGACGAGCTGAGCTCGTCCACGGCATTTTTAGCCAGAAAGTGGCTGACGAGCTCAGCTCGTCCAAGGCACTTAAGTAAAATTACGTTATGGCGCAATGCTAGCACCAATTCTTCACATTTTGGAGAATAGCAAAATGTAGCTGGGTAAGCACTTTGGCGCAGGTTTGCAGAAATGGTGCAGCAATAATACTGCACCTAGCAAGGCACCTTTTGAGAGGCCGTTACAAAAGTCTCTTCTTCGTTCGTGGTTCTTGCGCAATCCAACAAAAATTTAACTTCATTCGCTACTGGCCACAGCCCAAGCGTTTTATTCCTTCCTCGTTTATTTCCATGCTCCCATTCTGTTGTATAATTTCTAGAATGTGATATAGTAATCTATTGTTGATTGGAAGTTGTTCCCCTGCGACGTTGCTTTACCCTTATATTTAGTTTATGCGTTTACCAGTACTAAATCTAAGGCCTCGCATAACTACTGTACCACTCCTCATGTCGCCCCGTGGACCTGTCAAATTCCTAGTGCGCATTCATCCCGCTTAGGTTTAGTATTTAGTATTTAGTGGTATTTTTCGATTTCCTTGATGTCTCTTTTTATGCGTCTTAATTTCTCCGTGTTTTCGTTTCTCGAAATATTGATTGTCCACAAATATACAAATCCCAAGAGCGTTGGAACCCCCCCCCCCCTGCAATGTTAGTTTTCATTTCACAGGTAATCCCTACGTTCTTTCTTCACACTCTCTCAATTTTGTACGCTCACCAATGCCACAAGACCTCCCACTTTTTGTTATTTTCATTTCCTGTTGCCTTCGATTCACGAGTATTCTGGTGTAAAAGGTGGGTGTTTCAAAACTAAGATGTGTCTCCGCAATTCTGTATACAGTGAACTTTTTTTGGTTCTTTCTCAATTACTGCTTACTTTACACCATTCCTGCCACATTGCACGGTTATTAACCCTACATTCCGTTGTGTTTTCCTTATTCTCCTGCAAATCTTAGCCCTGCCCTTCTTTTGTTTCCTCGTCCCTCGTTAGACTGGGGCTCTCCTCGGGACCGTGTTGGTCCGTAAAAAAAGCCTTACCCAGCCTGAGGCAGGAGGACCTCTGCGCCGCGGCCCTGGACTGGCACCAGGAGGCGAGCGCGGCCTTGCGCGCGGACCACAGGGCCACGGCCCGCTTCAGCTCCCGGATCACCTCTTGGCCACGGTTGGTGCGAAACTGGAACGTGCCCTCGCCCGTGCAGCACCTCCTGCTCACACCGCGGGGCGAAGCGAAGGTTGAAGTATCTTAATATAAATAAAATAGCGCCAATAGAGCAAAGACACCGACTAAGATGAGACACGCGATAATTGAAAAGTAGTCCCTGACGGAGTGCGAACGGCAGGAAGGAGTTTCCGTTTTCCCGCCTCCAGCTCGAGCTTCTTGCCTTCGATAATGCTTCGGCGTCTCATGCACCTTTAGTGTGCAAGCGCTGAGAAAGCGCGATGAAAGGTAACGAGCGGGTGCTGGAGGCCGGGCGTTCGAAAGAGGCGCCTTGCCGTTCTTCCCTTGTCAGTGACTGGAAAGTGTATCTTAGGGCGAATAAACTAAGTACGGAAAGTGATAGCGAGGAGGAGACGAGAGCTCACGAAGACGCCAGAGAGCCTAAAGGCCTGTTCACACATGCAGCGGAGCGCAACAAGCATAGCGCTGACCTCGTGCTAAGCACGTGCCGATAGGAGCGTTCACCAGCTTTGTATCGTACCGTCAAAACTGTTGCTCATGGCATACGATAAGTACCTGACGGCACGTGAGCAGCGTTACATCAGCGCTTCGCTGCATGTGAGAACCGGCCTTAACTCTGACTGGAACGAGTAGGGATAGCCGCAAAGCTAGCTGCCTTTATCTCTGCTCACTCTTCGAGCACTATTGAACGCCGAACGCTGGCGTCCAGCTTTCGGCGTTGGCGTTCGAACAGTGAATAGAGACACAGCGGAAGCTAGCTTTGCGGCTACCTACCACTAGTCATTCCAGTCATAGCGCGAATAACGTATGGACAAGTAAGTAAAACAAGATAGCACCTGTTCTGTCTGACCTAATCGTCCTTGCCCTAATAGCGTCATTCTTTTTGTATTGAAATGCACCAACTATACTCCATTTCACTTTATGTTGTACCGCAGCGGAGGCTAGAAGCGCGAGTTCATAGCATTGGCTGCTGCCCTTAATGCGCGAGAGCTAGTGCCGACGACATGTGCTCTGAGCAAGGAGCTCGCGCTTGTAGCCTTTCCTGCGGTACATCACAAGGTGAAACAGAGTATAGACCAACCACATATTTCTCAACGCTTTTTAAGAGAGCCGCCCGCCAATTAGTCCTCAGAGAGTCTCATAGAAATATCGGTGAACACTTGAAACACTTTCAGGACGGGGACCGCCATAGTTTACGGCAAACTGCAATGGCTAGAGACGGGAAAAGCGTTTTTCTCTGAATAGGCAATTTCCAAAACTCCTAGTGCCCCCTACCGGAGCCGAAAGGTGTTCCGAAAACTGACTACAGAACGGGTCGTAGCACACGACGGAGGCGACTTCCGGTTCGTTAGGCGACATATGTAAGACGACGGTGGTGAGATGCAAGTGCGAGCAGGGCAGAAGTCTGAAACTTCCCCGATAAACCATTTGATTAAGCGCCTGTCTAAATATAAAATCAGTTTTTGATCAGCGTAGCGGAAGGAGACGGGAGTTAAAAACAAAAATGGAGCATCGATCAAAGTCCGCTTACCCATTTACAAACTTCAATCACGTTCGCTTATTTTGAATAAACATTCTGGTTTATAAGTTATAACAGAGCTATGACGTCGAAAATGGTTTTAAATTCTGCCAAAACTTTCCAAATTACCTGATTTGTGTATACCCCTTTGCACTATAAGTGCGAGTATACAAGATGCTGCAAGAAATAACTCCAGGCTTTCAGCGTCTCTGCCAGATTTCGTGCGCTCGTGCACTGAAAGCATAATTCAGTGCAACATGCTCGTGCTATCAGCTTCGGCATCCCTCGAAAATAAAAAAAACAAAGTATAGTAACACTCCCTGAAGCGTTACTAGATCACAGTTTATAATAATAATTTGAACTTAGTAGGAGGCAGAATCTACGAAATATGTTACTTAGTTCAAAATAAATTAAACACGGGTTATAATAAAGTTTTTGTGTCAGGATGAGCTTCCCAAATTCTCAACAAATAAAACAAAGTGGCTGTTTGTTTTTTATGCACTGTTTATTAAATACTGCTAAATGCCTTATTTATCTGGGTGAAAGAAACCAGCATTTATAACATCGAAGTTTGTCAAACCTAGATACCGGCAACTAAGAGACCCCAATTGAATGGCGTTATTTGCAACATTATTGCACCCACGCCTATGACTTTTCTGATTAAACTATCATGTTTGTAAATTGCCATACTAACTCACGTTACTAGGATGCTATTTTTGTGGTAAAGTTCTTCTGCATATTGTGAACGACATGCATTTCTTTATTTTTAAACAGGTTCTTTCCTAGTTTAGAAAACAAAAAATATTGTCACCTGAACGCCAGTTGACATTTTCATTGTTTCTGAAAATGAATGATGCTTCTAGTGTTTCCACCTTTTAGAACTACATTAAACTGACCTATTAAATTTGGGACCCATCTCTTGCAAAAAACCGAAGGCATTACACGAGTATTTCTCGGTCGAAATTCGCTTACGACGCGCACGCTTGCAAGCTAAGCATGATCGTTGTACAGAGCTGTTGCACAACTTTTCTAAACGGATATTCCCCTCATAGAAATGGGAGAATTAAACTCGACGGTAACCGACTTGTGCGTATTAGTCCTTATTAACCATGTCAGTCATGTCCCGTTATTACGGACACCGTTAATATGAATGGGACGCTTTAGAGATAAAATTTTTGCAAACTGAGTTACTACATTCGTTTGAGTCTTGCTATTATGAACAACTTACAAAGTATAACTTTTTACAGCGAAACTGTTATGTGCTAAAATCTGGTAAAAATGCGTCCATGGATGTTAACAAGAAAACTCTCGGTTAAACAACGCTCCGTTGTCCCGATTGGTCGTGGCAAGTATAAATAAGCAGAGGAGGCAACCCGCGTGAGTCAGCCTTCCTTGGAATTATTAGATAGTGAGGTCCTGATACCTTGCTATCATTTACGGCCACCGACTTAGCTAAGAATGCGCTGTGACGAGGCTGAGGGCAGAACGCGCCGATCTAACCTTTTTTTCTTTCGCTCCCGCGATGCTGATAAAGAAACCTGGGCTCAATCGAAGAAAACTGTCCTCAAGGTGGGCCTGGAAAAATTGGGTTTAGAACTTGTCCATAAGTAACCACAAGACAATGATCACTTTAGTCACTAAGGATTAAATAGAGACAAAGCGCAGTCTTGTACGTGCCTTCATTGCGATCACATGTAGATCGTAGAGATGTTTATACGATTTATGCAATCTCGATGTCTATACAATCCATCTTCACGTGAAGTGGATGGGCTTTACATTTTTTGTTTTGTTTTTGTTGGTGCGCGGAGGGGGGGGGGGGGGGGGGGGTAGGGGAGGGGGGTGTTAGGGGTGTTTATATTACTAAGGCAATAATGTGTGAATCAACGGGTCATCGGTTAGAAGAAATCCGAGCCTTTGAATTGTCACAGATGGAAGATATGAAAGAACACTATTTAAAATGTATCGAACAGGGAACTTCTAATGAATCACACCACTGGCGTTTCTCGTTTAGAATGATTGATCACACGTCCAAGCTCTAAAGCGCTCACTCAAAAAAGAAAAGAAAAGAGAGAAAGGAAAAAAAGAAAAGAAAAAACAGCCACGCAGCACAAGATTACCGTGCATCGATGTTTCTGGTTCGATCTGCCGTAATTACTGGTAAAAAAAGAAAAAAAAAAAACCGGCGTGGAATGAAAAACAAAAAAATACAATAAGACTAGTACGGGAGTAGTGACTAGAGTACTGCACGGGTTCAGCCGAAAGCCAAGGCCCGGCCCGGCCCGCGGGCCAGGCCAGGTAAGGCGGTTTTTTCGGTGGGCCTTGGCCGGGCCCGGGCTTTTACCTTCGGGTCCGGGCTGGCCTCCGGCTTTTGACTGCGGGCCCGCGCCGGGCTCAGTTAAACAGCTTGACGAGCCTGGATCGAACTCGGGGCTGCGACCCGATCTAGGCCCTCCAACGAATGTCAATAGTAGGTGTGGCCTCAGTGTGGAACATCTCAGCTTTGTTAATGCCGTTGTCTTGGCGACAAAAAAAAAAAAAAAATGAGCGTAGCTTTGCTATATATTTACATAGAACTTCTTCTGGACGGCAAGTGAAATTAAACGCGATTACGTACGCCATACAAATTCATTTTGGGAGAAATCACAGCACTCTGTAAATTGATAAATTAATAGACGGAAAGCATGACACGATGATTTGATAAGTACGGTTGTGTGTCGGCTGCATCGCAAGCCGACACCTATCGTAGTTCTGGCCTTGCTCCCTAAGTGTAACATGTTGACCCTTACAATATTTTGCGTCGTTTTACTTAGGCATCACAATACCTCACAGAAGTCCGATACCATGGAATTATATTCTCAAACTGAGGGGCTGAACAAACCGCTGTCTCAACTGTTTGACGAGCACTGAAGAAGCAGCGAGGAACGTTGTCTAAAGCATAGTAAGAAAAGTTATGGCTGGCGTGCCGGCGGTTCCTTCCGAAGGCAAGAACAGCGGCGAAGAATGCTGCGTCAGTGCAAAACCACCAAAACGCAGGCTCCTGGATGATTTTCAAGGCTGGCACGACGACCCCGACACGGACCTTTATAACGGTGAGTTAAGGCCTGACAACACTAGCGTGAACGGCGCCGCCGAGCGGCGCCGCCGGGCGGCACCGCCGTCCGGCTATGGTCCGGCATCCCAACGCGAGGAGTCCACATTGGCCTCCGTTTTGCAGGCGTCACGTGACAGCACTGGATCCCGCGATCGCGCCTCCCGTCGGATTTCCCGCTCTTTCGTCGTCTGCTCTTCGTTACATTCTTCCGTTCCGCACTCGCTGCCTACATGGCAGGAGTCCATATTGACCTGGTGATCAGCGTGAATGTGATTATCCTAGCCTGCTCGTTGATCTTGCGACGTCGCCGCGCTCTGAAGGGAAGGAGGCGCAGGTTTTGGGTCCGGCCGAGTTGGTTTTACCGAAACACCGAAGGCCAGGAGGGGTCTGGCGCGCCGCCTGGGCTTTGCTGCCC